TGTGTGTGTGTGTGGTGAAACTTCTCCTGTAGTTTTAGTGGGGGAGCGAAATTGGTTATGCTAAATCAGAAGATACAGGAAGGAATTTAAAGCCAGACTGTAAAATTTTTTTTATTTTTCGCACATTTTGACAATTTTTACTGCAGGAAGTACTTTTCATCTAGGTTTAAAGACAGAAAACTGGCGGAGCGGGAACGGAAATCAGGATTAGAGTTTTCCTTCCTGTAACTTCTCAGTCATTCCGATTATCGTCTTGCGATTTTAATGTGTTATTCAAAGGATGTCTTTATGACACTTTTTACTGGTAGGTTCTGTCTTTAGACGTAGCTATATTGAATCTCAGTATGCTTATATAGATTTTATTTGGTAGATGTCAGCTTGAATAAATTTAATAGAGGCAAATGCACTCTCTCAAAAGTAACTAAGTATTAAAAGGTTGTAGATGAGTTACATTTATTGTCGTGACTTAGAATTGACTTTAGATAATGCTTTAAAAGGGTCATTTGATATCCGATCATGACATTTTTTAGTAAGAAGTGATATTCGCGACGCTCTGCAGAACTGCGCACGTTTGGGAATCCTTGACCCTCCAAAACCACTTTTTGGCGATATCTGAAAAACAATTCAAACCAGCATTGGACAAAAGTAATAGTGATTATAAAAGCCCGAAACTTTAAATAAATGAAACCAGGTTTAAGTTCTAGTCTGTGGCTGATGAAGACATAGGACATGAAAAGGAGGCAAATAAAATAGACAGGTGGAGATATTATAAGTACATTGAGGTGGTAGGCGTGAACTGTGCATCATAATACTGTACTCAAACCGCAACCGTTGTGATCATTCGGGGAAATTTATTATAAAGCTTTGTTTTCTACAGGTCAACCATTGGCATCATTCTGTTTTCCCTTCATTTTTTAGAAGTATTTTGACATGTTTTGAAATAGAATTAGTTTTTTTTTAGTCGACCGTATTAGGTTCTCTAACGACGTTAGGCTCACAACTGGAATGACTTTGCCTTGCTTCTTGTTCTAAGGAAGTTTACTAAAAACATGAATGTACCAGCAGGGGAATAAAGTAGCCGCTCAACTGTGTTGTTTCAATTTTAGTATAATGCGAGTAACTAGAAGGCTCTTCAACGTGTTTTCGAAAGCCATTGCACATAAATTGGAGCAATATAGCCAGTTCCAACCGTCGTCACTGTCAATCCAACAATATTTGGACTTTGGGAGAACCGGGACTGCACAGTCATCGTTTTTGTTCTTGAAAAATGAATTACTTGTTCGGCTAGCAAATATTATGCAGGTAATTTAAATTAGTTTTCAATGAAAAGTTTTTAATCTTATTGTCTTATTTTTTTTTAAGATTAAAAAAATTGAGGGAAAGCTCTGCTCAGGAAATTAATCTTTTGCCTCCGAATCTGTTACGAATGCCGTCAGCGCGATTGGTTAGCGATTGGTACTGCGAAAGTTTTACAGATCTGCTACGGTTCGAAGGTGTAACAGCAACTACCGAGTCCATGTCCCAGTACGTTGTGCAACGTGATTGTTTCCCTTGTTTTTGTGAGATGCGACTCCTAGCTTTTTAGATTTACCGAACAGATACAAACAATTCTGAAAAGACATAGTCATGTTGTTGAAACAATGGCTGAAGCCTTAATTGAACTGCGTGAATGTGACGGTTCTGACGTTGTGGAAGAAAAAGGACTGCAATATTTCCTGGACCGACTATATATTAATAGGATTTCTATTCGAATGTTACAGAATCAACACCGTAAGCAGTAGTTTGAAAACACGGGCGCCTTTTACTTATTTGGCAGCTTGTCAATTTTTAGTCGGATTTCTAATTTGACCAAAAACTCTTTGTTGCTTTGAACACCTGTTATTACGCAATAAGTTTTTTTTGCATGCAGTTCTGGTTTTTGGATCGGTTTTGCCAGAAAGTCCTCGACATATTGGTTGCATAGATCCCGAATGTCGTGTGGAAGCTGTAGTCAATGATGCATACGAAAATGCTCGATTTCTATGCGAAAGGTTGGGATTTATTTGAATTTTCAGCTATTCTTCCTTTTTTGATTCTTGCCTTTTTTGAATAGGAGTAGCTGGAGTTGCAGATGTTTGTTTTCCAGTTAGAGGTCTATCTCTTTGGAAGTAATTTTTGCAGAAAGAAGTTAATCCTGGTAATTGCCTAGAGCAGGACTGAAATAATGCAAAATTATACTAAGGAGATTTTTAAAGGAAGGTTCTTCAAAGTTAATTAGCGGTTTTTGTACTAGTGAAAGGTAGTATTTTTGGAAAGAAATGAAAAGCGTGCAACATGTCATTTTCGTCGCTTTTCGCTCAAAGCAGTCGACCTTTTAATCTTGCCATTCACGTTCCGATAAACTAATCACTTAAAAATACAAACTTGCTTATTTCAATCCGTAAACAAAAATTTCCTTACAGAGAGCATACCGTTTCAGGGGGGAATAAGAAATTCGTTAATACTTAGGTTTAAGATAACGATCTAATTGGGAACAGCTCAAAGTTCTGCGTCAGACGTTTATACAGGTCACTGTGCGATGGTTTGAACAGAGCCATGTTTTGCTGAGGAAACCCAGAAAGCGTTGGTAGGTAATGAAAAATCCCGTCAGTATATACCTCCTACTGGTATAAGGCGTAGTTATGGAATTTAGCCTAATTGGTCCTGCCTAGAGTTGACGCAAATTATTTTTCAAATAAGGTACTGTAAAAGAGGAGGATAAGAGAACTTGAACTTTTTGAGACTTAAAACGTTGCTTAGTTTTGTCTTTAATGACTTGAGTAGAGTATAAAAGTCACCTCCGTTACACACATCTATTAATTATGCAGTGTAGTTGCTTGTAATGCTTTTTTTGAGTTTCTTGTTATTGCAAATGAATATTAAGTCGAATATAATATCCAGTAGAGGTTGGTACACTAGTTAAGCATTGATAAGCGACCAAAAACAACGACTCTTTAAGAATACAGTGCTCATCTTTCCCTGAGAATCTGCTAGTGTTATTATCCATAGGTCTTTTTAAAGTACGAAGATATATACTGTCAGCTAATATTTTGAACTGACAAGCAAACTTTTAAACAAATGGAGTCCACTGTGGTCCTTGTTTACAAGTACCATTTGCTTCTTCGACATCTTACATCACAAAAGGAGGTTGGAATTCTGTGAACTTGGCTCCAGTCGGTTACTCATATTTACACTGGCAGTCTAGTCTTGCCCGTCCGCCTTACTAACTTCTCCAGGCTCTTAGAGTATTGTGCGATAGGAGAACTTATCCTTTTTTTGTGACGGTACCCACTGGTTCCTCAGTAATTGGGCTTTCATCTTTTATA